TTGTATGGTGTTCTCTTCCCTTTCTAACTCCCCCATCCGACTGAGCACCGTTCACGGTGCGTTCTTACTACTGCAGCTTGGAGGCCTTCGCGGCGCGGTCGATCAGGGCCTGCGGCATCGTCGTCCACGATGCACCCGTCTTGGTGCTGATCGTTTTCAGGGCGTGGGTTTTGTTTTGTATTCCTCTTTCGTGTACTTCGTCGCGAAGAGGGTGCACAGCAGGCCTTCGACGTTAGACTGCGCGAGGCTCTTGGTGATATCCGTCGCTTTCTTCTTGATGTCTGGGTTCACCATCCTCGTGAAGCAGCTGGCGGTCTCCTCGCATGCCTTCTGAAGAGTTCTGATGGCGTCGATCTCCTCTTTGTAGCTGTCCGACTTCCTGCTGCACACGGTGGTCGCCCCCTTACTGAGCACCTCGTCGAGGTCAGTAGCGTCGCTCACGGACTCCCACCACGATTCTCCATCAGCACCGCCCTTGGCCCACTTCTGAGCGAGATCCAACCGACTGCCGAGCTGCGTCTCTGTCGTCGTCATGGCCTTGTCGGCGCTGGTGGTCACGTAGTCGTTGACCTCGTTCACCGCGGCCGCGATGCGCGGATCGATGTTGGCCTGGCCAATGGTGTCCGCGGCATTCTGGAGCTCCAGCTTCTTCAAGAGGAGGGTCTTCATGGCCTGCATCTTGTTCGGGTCCGTATCGTCGGCGCCGGTGGACTCGCCTTCGCCAGAGAGCGCGGCGTGCGCAGCCTGGCTGGACTTCGCCTCGCAGGCCGCGTAGAAAGCTTTGAAGGTGTTCTTCATCCCGCCGTCCGTGAACTCAGCGATGCCGACCAGGAGATCTACAATCGCTGCCGTGCCCGTGGCATCGTCGGCCTTGATGTTGTTCCATACGTCCTCGCAGAAGATCTGGATATCACCCTTGGCAACGTCGTCGAGCGAGGTCTCATTGACGGCTTCCAACTCCCCACTGATGATTCTCACTTTCTCGATGTCGACCTTCCCCGTGTCGTCCTTGGCGCCACCTGCCAAGTGATGCTTGATGTCATCGATGAGCTGTTTCGCGCCGATCTGATCGATCACGGCCTGGATGTCGTGCGTCGCCCTCTCGCCGAACTCCTCGTTCATGGCCTTGAGCTTGACGCCTTCCTTGAACATGATCTCCGCAGCCACCAGCGCGTCCTTGCTGTAGTCAGCCCCCCCCTTGACCACGCCGCCCTTGTCGAACATCGCATCGTAGATCGTCCCGAGTAGCCCGCTGCAAGCGACCTCCAACACGTGCCCTGAGCCTGGCCTCAAGAGCTCGCGGCCGGTCTTGATGATGACGAAGGCCTCGTTGATGGCTTCGTTGGGCAGCGCGATGGTTGCCACTTTCTTCTGGAGGTCTCTTAACGCACTGGCCTGCTTGAACATCTTCGGCATCAACTTCTTGGCGTCCTGCAAGGTGCTCTTCATCATGTCGTAGACTGGCTTCCAGTCGTCATTCATCCTCAGGAGCACGCCCAGGTCCGCGAGCCCCCCCTTGCATTTTCTCTCCTGCTGCAAGAAGAACTCCTCGATGGTCTCGAAGTCCACCTGGCAGGTGGTGTCGCAGACGGCGCACATGACGCGGAGCACCTTCAGCGAGTCCATGGCTTCGGGCGGGACCTCGGGTAAGTCCTCCACGGCCTTTTCGAAGTGGTCCAGCATGGCCCCGCGCAGGCGAGCCGATGCCGCCTGACCGCCCTCGTCCACCTTCAGCGTCGCAGGGACGATCTCCTTCAAGAGCACGTTCAAGAGCAGCGCGGCCCTGGATTGCATCGTACCACCGATGGTCGACATAGGGACATTCATGGGGTCGAACTCCTGGTACTCGGTGGCTATCATCTCCACATCAAGTTCGCCATCCACCATCTCCCCGTCGGCCGTCACAGTCTTGTCGAACTTGAACGGCATCACGGTATCCACGATATCGGCGATGCAGGCATCGCCCACGTCACCCGACGAGAATGCTATAATCGACGAGTACAATCTCTTCCCCAGGAGCTTGCTCTTGATATTCGAATCGAAATCGACCTTTGCAGCCGCTAGCTTCTGCAAGTTGCACTTGAGGTCGTCGAAGGTCGTCGTCTCATTGCCAAGGTCTATCATCAGCTGCATGCAGATGTCGATGCGGTCGATGTGCTCCTCGAGGTGGTTGGCCTTCACGGCCTCGCCCTGGCCCGCCACGCGCTTGACGCAGTCCCTCGCCCAGCCCGCCTGCCTCTTCAAGGGGCTGCCCGCGAACACCTTCGACGGCGTGAGGGTTTCGTGCCAGTACTCGGGCGGCTTCAAGCGGCCCTCTCTCTCCGTCAGACCAGCGCAGGTCTCGGCGACCGAGGGCGCGGCCAACGAGCCCGACTTGGCCCTCTTCGGCGGCGGCCCTATCGTGCTCGGGCTAGCCCCTGGCGAGGGCTGAGGGGCCTGAGCCTTGGCCTCACTGTCCGCCACCCTTGCCGCCGCGCTCCTCGCTGCCTTAGGCGTTTCTGGCACCTCCTCTGGGCTGTGGCTCGGCGCTGCCGCCGCCGACGCCGCGCTAGCTGCCAGCTGCGCTGCGGCGGCGCCGCTGGATGGTTCTTCTTCACCCCCGCCCCCTGCATCGCTGGAGGCCCCATCCGAAGCAGAGCCGCCACCTGCAACGCCGTCGCGCACCATGCGGCGCAAGCCCTTGGGCCTCGCCAAGTTCTTCTTGACGAGCATTCTGATCTTATCCCTGATGTAGGCGGTGAACTTCTTGGATTTCGGCTGGTACTTGTTCCCGAACCTCTGGCCGAACGCGCGCGCCCGATCAGCCGACATGTTCTCGAAGAGGGTGGAAGCTTGGCTCTTGTAGTAGTGCATGGCCTTCGTCATAACAGGCGTCCTCCTGACGAGCCTCCTCGTCGTTTTCACTACCAGCGTCGGGGGCTTCACCGCGTCCTGCAAGATCACCACGCCGAAGGAGTCCTCGCCCTGTGCGTTCGTCACGCGCAAAGTCATCACCTTCGCCTGGTCTGGCAAGCAGCCGTGCTCATCCTTGAAGTCGTCGCGGGGCTGGAACGTGTACTCCTCCGTCAAGGAGCTCTCCTGGACCGTCTCCTCGTAGACTTCCTCAGTGGGGAAGCCCCTCGTGTCCTCGGCCTTCTGCTTGCCAGCCTTCCACTCCTCTTTGGTTGCCTTTTTCTCCTTCCATTTTCCTGGCGCCTTGGCCTTCATCGTTGCCAGCACTTTCGGTTCGTAGCCAGACTCATCGGCAAACTCCACGCACTCGTTGCACAGGCAGTGCTTCTGGTACTTGACGCATTGCGATTGGGGCACTACGAGCTCGCAGAAGCCGCAAGTTGCTTTGCCTCGGCCTCCTTTTCTCACCACGCTGCCTGCAGCAGTACGCATCGGCTGCCACTAAAGTGGCTCTGTGTCAGGCCGCTCACTGCCCTCAGTGTGGGCCCGTTCGGCACTCGAGTAAGTGGCCGTGTCAACCTCAAAACACGTTCAGCCCAAATGGCTACGGAGGAGGATAGAGTGGACGGACGAGGAGGAGGATATGACAGACCATGTAGCCTCATAGCTGCCCCACGGCCTCGCACTGAGGACCTCGCGCTGACACCCTGAGTCGACCGTCGGAGCTACCTCTTTTGGCTACCTCGTGTGCCGAAGCTGGCCCATCGGCACTTCCGAACAACAAGATGGTTAGCTAGAAGCTAGAGCGGGCCCCAAACAGTGTGTTCGAATATACAATGCGAAATCTATGTTACGCAATCTATGCGGTGCTATCTATGCGGTGGCATCTATGCGGGCACCCCATAGGGTGTGAGCTCTGCGGTGCAATCTATGTGGCGCAATCTATGTGACCCAACCTGCGCGGTGCAATGTGCGTAGTGCAACCGATGATGTGACATCCACGCGGTGCAATTTATGTCGCGCAAGCGATGGGGCCAAGGGCAAAGGGCCCAAGAGAGGCCCAATAGGGCCCCGAGAGGAGCCCAAGAAAGGCCGTGGATGATCCCACCAACCAGCTATTTTTTATGATGTGTGTTTTTCGTTCGTGGGGCCAGGTATTGTTTAATGGGCGTCCTCTTAGGGTCCCTCTTGGGCCCCCAAGCCAGCGCAAATATTGGTTTTAAAAATGATTCCAAGTTGGCCCCGAGAGAGGCCCAAGAGGGGCCCGAGAGAAGCCCAACAGGGGCCCGAGAGGAGCCCACCAACCGGCTAATTCTATGCGTTTTTCGTTCGTGGGGCCAGGGGTTGTTTAAGGGATGTTAGGGGCGCCTCTTCGGCCCCTAAGATGGCCCCAAGAGGGGTCAGAAAGGGCCCCAAGTGGGCCCCGAGAAAACTCCAAGAGAGCCCTAAGAGGGCCCCCCAGAGACCGCTGCGGGGTCTCATCAAAACACGCTGTTTGATCAGACCCACCAAAGGTTTCTTGGGGCCCTCTTGGGGCTTTCATGTGGCCCTCTTGGGCTCCTCTGGGGGCCTTCTCCGGGGCCCTGGGACCCCTTCGGAATTTTCCTAGAGGCCCAAGCCCGAGACACGGGGGTGGGCACATCCGCGGCGTCCTCATCCAACCGGAGGAATCCCCCGCGGCGCCCTCATCCCACCGGAGGAATCGCACGAGGTACCTGGAGGGAAATCGTGCCATCCCGCGTACTCTTATCAGTTCCAGAGAGGGAAATGTTGTTATGTTTGTTTTGCCTGCACGTCGTACTCGGTTCCAGAGAGGGAAATTCTGGTTTACTTTTTTCCCTCTGCTGTTGTTGTTTTTCCCCTCTGCTGCGTTGTTTTTTCCCCCTCGGGCCCCTGTGGTTTGCGAGGAGGAAAAACAGAACGACAGATTTCCCCCCCGCGTCGTCGTGCGTGTTGCGGAGGAAATACACTTTCGGGAACGACCCGCAAGAAGGACACGCCTGGGCCGCAGAGCCTCACTGCTCCCGCACAGCGCGCGCCCCCCGCGCAGCGTTCCTCCTGATCATCCCCCTCCTCCACCTCCTCCTCCTCCCCCTCCTCCTCCTCCTCCCCCTCCTCCTCCTACCCCCTACCCCCCCCCTGCCTCCTCCCCCCCCTCTGCTCTCCTCCTCCTCCTCCTCCTCCTGCTCCCCCTCCTCCTCATCATCCTCCCCCTCCTCCTCCTCCTCCTCCTCATCCTCCTCCTCCTCCCCCCTCCTCCTCCTCTGCCCTCCTCCTCCTCCTCGGGCCTCATTGGGGTTCCCTTGGGGCCGCATTAGGGCCCTCCTAAGTGCGCATTTTAAGGCCTCCGTCGGGCTCTCTTGGGGCCTCCCCGAGGGCCTCCCTGAGGGCATCTCTTGGGGCCTCCCCGAGGGCCTATCCAGTGGCCTTTTCTTGTTTTCTGCCACAGCGAACCAAGTATTCAACCGCAACATTCATCAATCCTCACGGAGCCTCCAGCGGCTCGTCTGGCTCGTGGAGCCTGAGCGCACGCTCGCACCTGAACAGCAAGTCGCTGCCAGGCATTGCGCGCAGCTCGTCGCGCGACGCTTGCCTTAGCGCAAGCGGCAAAGGGCAAAAATGCACGTGGGTGGCCTGCGTGTCGCAGAAAGGCTCCGTGCTCTGCTTCAGCCACGCCATGAGGGCCCCGAGAGGCCGACCTTGAGCGGCTCTGTTCGGCCGATCTGATCCACGACACGTCCTAGTCATTCGGCACTTCGACCCATGAACGTGGCAATGGGCAACTAAGTCGTCCTTCTTGGCGTAGTATCTGATGACGCCGCAGGGCGTCATGAACGTGACGTCGGCTGGCTCACTGGGCCCGCGAGGCACGCCATGGGGCCCTGGAGGCGGTGGGTCGTCGTCGCCCCCGCCTCCGCTCGGGCCCCCGCCGTCACCGTCCTCGTTGTCGCCTCCATCTCCACCGTCATCTCCTCCGCAATGGATTGATATGTTATCCACGTTGTCTGAGAGGACGTCCTCACCGTGGTCACTCAGGGCTGGCTCGTCGGTGTTTGCTCTCGACGGGCTCATCCAGCTGTACGAAGGAGAAAGAGAGGAAAGGAAGCTCTTCTCGTCACCATGGTCGCTCTGAGGCTCTGGGTCGGCCCCCTCGCCACCGTCAACGCCGTCGTCGTCGGGGCCCTCGTCCTGGTCATCCTCGTCCTCCAAGTCGTCGAGTTCGTCGGCCCACACATTATCATCTTCTCGCTTTCGTTTTTTTTTCGTTTGGGGTTTGGCCAATGGCGCGTGAACTCTCGGTCGTCGGAGACATGGCCAACCACTAGCTGCGACGGGCGGATTGGAAATTGGGGCTTCGACGTGGATTGTGCCAGCATAACGGGGATTGTCCAAGTGCTCGGCTTTGAAAAGTACAGGTACAACATGGAGGCTACCTCGTAGTTTGTCAGGTAATCGCCCAAGCAATCCAGCACGATTGAGCCATCATCTAACAGGCCATTATCCGCGGTCGTGCACTGGCGATAAGTTGGCCTATACGGTGAGAAGTACATCATACCGACATGGAGGTAAGTCTTAAACTCGCCCAAGGGGCCCTCGTCACTTGCGCCTTCCCCCGCGTCGGCGCTGATCTCACTCACCTGCTCTGGCTGGTGATGAATCGCGACAACTAGGTAGCCATCCGCCAGGGCACTTTTGACAGAAGCATCCTTGCAATAGGCCTTGATTCCACTATCCACCCAACGTTTGAACTTGAAAATGAGGTCCCCCTTGGCTCCGCACAGGCACACGCCAGCTTCGAGACACGTTGGTTTCCCAGTAAGTTTTTTCTTGGGCTCCTCGAAAGTTGTTTGAGAGGCATCTTTCTTCTCTGTGTGCAGTCCTGCTAAGAAGCCGATGACATTCTCTCTGACCGTTGCGTACTCGAATAGACCAAGTAAACCCACCATCCTGGGGATGATCTTCCTGACGGGGCAGAAATACTCCAGGACGTAGGAGCCGCCAGAATGAGGCCGAGCGACGAGACCGTTTACCAGAGGAGCCATCAACGGGAGCTTGGAAATGAAATCGTTCACATGTGTCGCGCCCTTGGTCGCCCTCCATTTGGATAACTGCATGGCTGTATCGTGGGGCGCGCGCTTCTTGATGCGCCTGAGCAAGTACTGATCTGCCTTGAGCTCGCGCACGTGCCTCGTGACGTCGTCGAGTGGGAGAGCAAGCGCATGGGCGCTCGCTGCGCGCCCTGGCATGCGACTCGCCTGCAAATGCTGTTCTGCATTGCGCCGCCTGACCTGGGTGCTCATCACTGCGGCGAGCTCCTTCGAAACTGTGCCGAAGGACTTGTGACCAGCCTTGTGCATGAGGGTGCCAAGTCTGCCCTCCCGCTCGTGCACTGCCTTCTCGTCTGGGGAGAGCGCTCGGTAGGCAGCCGCCGCCACCTGCAGGACAACCTTCCCTACGACTTTGGCGCGAGCTGCGATGTATGCTCTCCGAGCCCCCCCTCCGCCCCTCTTTGCCGATGGAGCCTCGGCCTCGGGGGCGCTCGCGCCTCGGCGCACAGGCTTCCGCCCCCCCTTCTTGAAGCACCCTGCGGGCTTCAGAATCCGATCCTCTCTCGTAGACGCCCTCCTCAGCATGAACCTGGAGCTGATACTGCTCAGCTCGGGCCTCTTAGACTGCAACGACGTGGCCAGCACTTGTCTCCTGAGCTGCGCATTCTGAGTCTCCAGCTTCACTGTCGACGTCTTGGAAGCCATCGCGACAAGGCTCAACTCGTGCAAAGCTTCGTCGCTCGTCAGCCCCCCTGGCTTATCCTTGAAGTATTCGATGAAATTGTCGCTGAACTGATCACGGCTCGACCTGCACGAAGCCTCGATGTCCGCCGCCAAAGTTGGATCGTCGAGCAGCAAGAACAACCTGAAAGGAAACTGTTTACCAATCGCGGTCCCGAACTGATGAGTGCAACACCCTTCCCTGGAGAGCATCCTGCACAGCTTCGTCTGGTTCTCGAGCGTCATGTATTCCGCTGTCAGACAGTCCAGCTCGAGAAACTTCGACACCGCCTCTATGTCTTTAAAGCACTGGTCCTCCAATGTCTGCCTCGCCACGCGCATCAAAGGCCACTCCCTCCCCCCCAAGACCGTCGAGTTGCCGTCCGAAGAGATGAGGGCAGCGTCCTGCTTCATCTCCCACTCCTCGCTCGCCATTTCCAACTCCTTTTCCAAGAACGCCTTGATGGGCCCCAAGACCGCCCTGAAGAAGATGACCCGAATGGACGGATCCGTGGCAAGCCACTCGCGCGCTGAGCCCCGATAGGCTTTGTTCTGCTCGGCGAACGCCTTTCGGGGGTGGTCGGGCTTCTTCGCTTCAGGCGCAGGAGCTGCGTCGCCTTCTGGGCCCTCGCCCTCCTGGTCGTCTGGCTCTTCGGCGCCTTCCTGATCACCTGGAACGACAGCCTCCGCGTCCAACAGCGGCAGCGGATGTTCGGGGTGCGCGCCTGGATCATCGCTGGTAAGCTCGCCTCCGTACTCGTCCCTCAGGTATCTAACAAAGGTGTCGTTGAAAAGGCCGTAGACGTTCATCGGCAGGCCGACGTCGCGAAACGTGACCTCTGCCCCCGTCCACCTGTTTCGAGGGAATAGGAACGGGGCCCTGGGAAATAGTGCTGGCACGAACTCCTTGAATAACAATCGCAAGACGTCGGATCGCGTCTCGTCCGGCCTCGCAACGTAAGTGAAATTCTGCGTATCTCTCCAATCCCCTGGCGCACACCGTTCAAGCAACAGTCGTAAAGCCACGCATTCGGGAGAGCGGTCCAAGAAAGTATCCATCACCAACTTCCTGAATGAAACTGCCTTGGAGTCCAGCACAACGCTTGGCGCAATCTTCAATGTGTCCCTGATTACCCTCCTGGCCGCCTTGCGGAACAAACTCATCTGACCAGCCAGCCTCAAGGGAAGAGACGTCGCTACAAGCCCAGATATGTCAGCCGCGTGCATGTCGTAAACTTTGGAATGAAACCCAGCCACTGTGTGTACACGGCATAGGAGGTGTAGCACTGCCCAGTTGTCACGCTCAGACAAAAGATGGCGCTCAACTTTAAGGTTCGATCCAAACCCGTCAGTGCACGCTATGCGAAGCCGCCTCCTGAACGAACTTGCATTGGCAGTCCCAATTGAATATTCTGCAAGCGCTGCTTTGTAGTTTGCCGCCGAATTTCTGTCGCACACTTGGAGCCACGATAACAAGTTTCCCCGTAAAATCGCGAAGATACCGTCGATCTTGACTAATAACAATACGCTGGTGTCCATCTGCAGTACCTTCTTAGTGCCCACCGTGGTCTCCTCGAGCTCGATGGTTTCGGCTTCGTCGCATTGCTCTCCAGGCACCGAGCCGTGGGCAACAAGAGGGCGTTCGTCGTCAAGTAGTTCCACCACTTTCTGCGTACTCTGCAATACGAAATCTGTGCTATCGTAGCTGGCGTACTCCACATAACACAAGAACTCAAACGTACTCGAAGAAATCGCATACTGGACCAATAGATCTTCCGTGTGCTTCCATATGTTTCGCTCGACCTGCGGTGGCTTCGGAAAAACGAAGCGACGCTGCGTCGCACGTCGGCTGCCGAGGGGTGCGTTGAGATCTGGATCGAGGCACGCCCTCCCCAGCGACCGATGTGCAACACAGCGGCTCCCTGATGTTCCGAAGCCCTGCGAGACCTGAAGAGCGCACCCTGCCATGAGATGTAGCGTGTTCCTGTAGTCCTTGCGATTCTCCCCGATCGCTCGTGCAAGGTCGGAGATCCGTCCTGTGAGTGGGTCGTCATCCAGTACCTCGCTGCTGATTTTCAGCGAAGTACTGTCGAGGTCGGACTCTGGGACGTTCCTGCAAGCATGCGACGCCCACATAACGTTCTTGTCGTGCTCTACTGCCACCACCTGCATTCCACAGTCGGGTTCGCCATCCATCTCGACGTCGATGGGAGAGTCGCTGATAGAGAGCGCATCCACGCCAGCCATCCAATCATCTCCAAGTGCCTGTGCCTGGTCATCACCACCAGCGTTGTCCTCGCTAGCGGCGTCCAGCGCTGAAAGCCACGAACCACCTGGGTCATCACCACCAGAGTTGTCCTCGCTAACGGCGTCGAGCGCTGAAAGCCACGATTCACCTGGGTCTGCCGCCATGATGGCGGCCAAGAACAAAACTGTTATGGAACATATGGACAAAATCATTGTCATAGAATGAATGGGCTAAGCTGGTTTGAGCCAAAATGGTTACGGACAGAGGGGGAGGTGGAGGAATGGATGTGCCCATCTCGCGATCCAACGGTCCGCCAGGGCTGTCTACCAGGGGCAAGCCATTCAGATCTCGAGGCCACCAGGGGGCACTTACCAGGGGCCACCAGATCTCGAGGCCACCAGATCTCGACCCAGCGGGGGCACCTACCAGGGGCAAGCCATTCAGATCTCGAGGCCATCGCCCCCCCCCCCTGAGAACGCGCAGGAAAGTCAGTGGAAGTCCAAGGTCTCGCAGCTTGCCCCCCCATCGGATGGCCAACGCTAGGTCCCGAGCCGCGGTGAGGGGGAGGATGAGTGGGACGAGGGTGCGATTTACAATTGGGAATGCCACTCATAGCAACGGATGTCATTATGCTGCGCCCCTATCACGGCAACCTTTTGAAATGTTGATGCGCCCATCTCAAGACAAGGTCAAGACATCCTCCTGCCCCTATCAGAGGCCCCCAGCGTCTTAACATATCTACCCCACTGCCCCCCTTAAGGTCGACCTGCCCCCCCCCCATATCTTAACATATCTACCCCGCTACCCCACTGTCCTACACCAAGACAGACGTGCTTCATACATAAGATCCGAAACTTAGATTTTCTTGTTTTTTTTTATTTTTGCGGGGTCTCCAAACATTGCTTTGCAGATAGCTTTTCGGGAGGTTTTGATTTTTTTCCGAAGGGCCTTGCGGGGTCTCTGCAGATGCCCCGCGGGGTCTCTGCAGGGAAATGTCTGGGGGTCTGTTTTTACTCCTGCGGAAGGCTGGCGGGGAAAAAAACAAAGGGATTCAGGTTTCCGCTCTGTAGGAGGCATGACCGACACAAGAGTAGGGGGAGGAGGGAGAGGATGAGGGGGAGGAGGAGAGGAGAGAGGAGAGAGGAACGCGGGGACCGTCTCTTTAAAACGAGGACCCAACACCACAGGATGGTTGGGAATAAGAAGCCCTAAGTGTAAACACTTTTTGGGAATCAATGAATTGACCTGCGACCCGTTCGGATAACTAAGCCCTCTGGGGAGCCTGTTGGGGCTTGCTGTGGCCATATTTGGGCCCTTTGAGAGCCGATCTTAGGCCTCCTGTCCGTCTTCGGGGAGGATTCCAGGGCCGTCCACGACGTCTAGATGAGTGCGGGCGGCTCGCCAAGGATGCCTGGAACGCGGCCCGAAAAGTTCCACGGGCCGGGGGGGGAGGGGGGCGTCGGAAAGGTGTCCCAGAATTGATTGTTGATGCGGGGATGGGGTGGCCCTCTGGATGGTGTAACTTCGACTGATACATCGTCTATGGACCAGCGACAGGACCCACAAAGACCAGCACCGCACGATCTTGTGCGGGGTGGGCCACCGAAGCGCACGCATCTGGCGACGAGTCCTGGACCGAGTTTGAGACTGGAAGCGCAGAAGACAAGATGAACTTCAAACTTCGGAGGTCAGCGCGGATTTTGAGGCACGGCTTTTACTCCCCCAGGTCGGCGCCGCCCCGCAAGTCCAGCGCCGACCCTCCAAATCCGTCTGGCCTCCAAAATCGTATGTTCATCAATTGGGGCTTCTTCACTCCTCTCGACGCCACTGACCTCCTCCTCCTCCTCCCGCCCGTCGGCGGCGGTGCCTTGTCCCCCGGCGTGATCCGGCTGCGCACGCCCAGATATCTCAGGCACTCGGGTGCCTTGCGGCGAAGGACAGCAAAGAGGACGAGGACGCCGCAAGCAGCCGCTGGCTGGTCTCCGACCTCTGTCCATGCAGAGGTCCGTGGGGTCCACAGCCAACGAGACACTCGACGGTTGCAGGAGAGCAAAATATCCCACGCGAAAGGGGTGAAGGTCGCGACTGCAGTAGTTCCGGCCGAGTATGGCGAGTGCGTCAGCGCTTCTGCAAGGAAGATAATACTCGTGCCCAACACAAACACGGGCCTCGACGTCTTGCGAGGACGCCAGCGAGCGGCGAGCAGCGCACCCCTGGCACGACAGCCGGCCGCACGTGGGGGCAAGCTTTCCAACCGCGCTCCGCCAGGCTCGCCAACTGGCTGACTGTAAGAGACGACCGAAGGTCTAAAAAGCGGCCTCCCCGAAGACCCGTCACCCGCGATCATGCCGCAACCTGACGAACGCGACTGCACCAACGGCCCCTACCCGCATCCGTCCAAAGCGTGGGCACGTTGCCGGAGGGGGGCCCTGAGGGTTCGCAGCAAGGGTCGGTTTGCTACATGGGGATTGTCAGTCCACCCCCGATCAACTTCGCCGCCGCTGCCGTCACCGCCGCCGTCTCCCTCGGCCTTCTTCTTGGGCACCCACGGCTTGTAGAGGCCCAGCTCCTCGCAGCCGCCCCAGGGAGGCCGGGGGAGAGACGCCAGCTGGGCTCCCGCCGCACCCTCGCTTCGGCTTCAGGGGGCGGGAGAAGGGCGACCGTCCCTCGTCGGCCGGGACTGACCTTCGAGGTCTCTGTGTCGGGTATTGTGTAAATTCTGTCAGGAGCCCAGGGCCCAGATTTTTGGGCGCGTCTGGGCGCTCACATAGCTTCTCAGATGGCTTCTCTGGAAGCTTCGGAAGCGTGGCTAGGGGTTCATACTGACCATGTGCATTGAGACCCCCATTGAGGGATCTTCCTCGCGCTCTCTTGGGGGGCCTCTTGGGCCGTCTTGGAGGCCTTGGGGTCTACCCAAGCGGTCAAACGCATGTTATAACCAAAACATGCTGCATCAGATCTGTATACCAAGCGTTTCGCTCTTCAGAGCGTCCACGACGGCCCAAGAGGCCCCCAAGATCGCTTCAAGATGGCCCTACGGCTCTCAAGATGGGCCCAACAGGCCCCCAAACGCTCATAATAGGCCCAACAGAGGAATGGACTCACATTCGGAGCCCTCCACCCAAAGATGACCCTCGAGACCACCTTCGGGCTCCCCCAGAAGGCCCCCAAGAGGCCACCTCCTCGTCCGCCTCCTCCTTCTGCTGCTGTTCCTTCTTCTCTCTCTCCTGCTCCCTCCCCTCTTACTCCCTGAAGTGCTCGCCCAAAGGTTTCCGCAACGGCTGAGGGACCACATAGTCCAACCTATCCGGACAAGAACGGGAAGCGCCGCTTCTCTTAGCTTGCGTGCGCAGGCACACGGATTCGCACGTAAAGCGGAATGCGTCCCGATGGTTGCCTGCGTTTGCTTTGGTCAGGTGTTGCGCGTGGCGTTTGCACGTAGTGTGTATGTGTGTGTGTGTGTTGTGTGTGTGTGTGAGTGTTGAGTGTGTTTGTGTGTTGTGTACGTTGTGTGTGTGTGTGCGTGTGCGTGCGTGCGTGCGTGTGTGTATGTGTGTGAGTGTGTGTGTGTGTGTGCGTGTGCGTGTGCGTGTGCGTGTGCGTGTGCGTGTGCGTGTGCGTGCGTGCGTGCGTGCGTGTGCGTGTGCGCGTGTGCGCGTGTGTGCGTGTGTGCGTGTGTGCGTGTGTGCGTGTGTGCGTGTGTGCGTGTGTGCGTGTGTGTGTGTGTGCGTGTGCGTGTGCGTGCGCGTGTGCGTGTGCTTGTGTGTCTGTGTGTGCCTGTGTGCGGCTGCACGCGAGTGTGCGGCTGTGCGTACAGGGGGTGTGCTGGTCGGGCGTGACGGGGGGTGTACGGCGTGCATGCGGGGTGTGTTATGGGGGCGACGGGCGGGGGGGATGTACGGCGTGCGTGCGGGAAGTGTTATTGGGGCGACGGGCGGAGGGAAGTACGGCGTGCGTGCGGGATGTGTTATGGATTTTGGCCTCTTGGGGCCCTCTTGGGACGGCCCTTGGGCGCCTCTTGGGGGCCTCTTGGGCCGTCTTGGGCGGTCTTGGGCTCTCTTCGAACGCTCTTGGGCCGTCTTGGGGGGGAAACCCTGGGGAAAACTGCCGCAAACGGGGGGCAAGCCCGAAAAACATGCCCAAGCCTGAGGAAAACTGCCAAAAACGGAGGGGGGAAAACCCAAGAAACATGCAAAAACCCTAAGGAAAACAACCAAAAACAGGGAAAGGGGGAATCCGCCAAGCGAATCCGCCAAGCTAAAAGCATTTGCAGCCAGGCGGCCATGGTCCCTCGCGTCTTAGTTCTTTATTTATTCTTAGAAAGCTTGGCCTAACAAACTGTCAACACCTTCTCGTTCAGAGAAGGCGCTTCCCGTAATCCGCCACCGCGCGCCCTCCTGGGCGCGGAGTGGGCGTGTCCTCAGGTCCTTTGCCTAATCGCTGAGCCTCAGTCCTCACTCCTGAGGAGCCTCTTAGGGGCCCGGAACCAAATTCTCAAATCTCCTGGGGCTTGGCGCGCCGTCTCGCGTGACCTGTTCAGGCCCAGGAGGGCCCCAAGACGGGCCAAGAGGGCCCAAGGGGCCCCAACGACGGTAGAGAAGGGCCCCGAGACGCCCAAAGATCACCGCAAGACGCCCAAGACGGCCCAAGAAGCCCCCAAGACGCAAAGATGCCTCCAAGAGGTTTCCCAAGAAGGCCCCGAGAGGCCGAAATCAATGATTGTCCAAACACAGTTTTCCGATGTTTTGGGGGTCCTCGACTTTTCGAGCTCCCGACGCTCCAAGACGACCCAAGAGGCCCGCAAGATCGCCCAAAGACGGCCCGAGGGCATCATAAGGGCACCAAGACGGCCCCAGAGAGCCCTAAGACGGCCCCAGAAGCGCCCACGACGGCCCAAGAGGGCCACAAGACGGCTCCAAGAGAGGGCACACGAATCGAAAATTTGGGTCCTTAAGAGACCCCCAAAGAGCCCCAAGCCCCAAGGGTCCCCCACGAAGCCCCACGAGGCACCCAAGAGGCCCAATCGCGGCCCAAAAACAGCCCCCCAGAGGCCTTACAACTGCCTCCAAGATGCACCAGAAAAAAGGCCTCGGCGATATCCCAACCACTATCCAAGAGGCCTCAGACCCACAACCCAGGCGGTGACTCGCCGTAGGCGTCTTCGATCTGTGTTCACATCACCGCATCGCCCGTACGGTGCGATTTGGGGGCTCCCGACCCACTTGCTACTGTTTTGGCAAAATCTACTAAGCGAACGTCTGCTTAAGCGAACGTCTGCTGCTCCGCCCTGGGCCATAACCACATCACGAAAAAAGTCACTGTTCATGACCAACTCGTCCGTGAAGACAATGACCCTGGCAAACTAACGGAGAGACGGTCAAGAAAAAAGGAAAACATTTCTTCGGGGGACGACATGCAAATGGCGAGGAGTGCGAACAGCCCGTTGCAGACCGAGGGAATGGTTCCTTGAGGACCTGCTCGATGATGTCCATCTGGACAGCCACGTCTGGCCTTTAGATGGAGCGAACTAGAACAACACAGCAAGGACTCTCGCACTGTTTCGTAACTGGAACGAAAACATCTGACTGGACGTCCGGCGTTCCCCTACACATTCCCCTCCTCCTCCTCCTCCTCTTTGTCCTCGTGCTCCTCTTCCTCCTCCTGTTCGAAGGCGAAACCAACGCGAACACATACAATTCGACACATATAAAAACGGAAGTCCCTGAGAGCCCGCAGTTCTGGAGGTTGCACTGGGCACCGCGGCCGTTCCAGGGCGCACCAAGACACTCTGAGGGCGTCCTGGCCAGCACTTGACTTTGTCTTTGGTCTTTTATGCCTGCTCAGTCCCCTCCCGCATCAACGATATGCAAGTGCCCGCCGCCGCGACTGTAGCGACCGGCACGCCCCATGGCCCTGGTACACTTCTCTTTGTTGCACCGCCCGTTGGGTCGAAAATCCTGGGCGGTGAGCTTCGCGTGCAAACGACAACCAAACTGGCTGGCCCGGGAACTGATACACAGATAAGCTGGATGATTGATGATGATGATGATGATGATGATGATGATGATGATGATATACACATATATATATATATATATATATATCGGCTGGAATCTCTATACCTATACATGGATACTGTTAGCCGCATATCTGTGCACAGTGTATGAACCCCTTGATGGTCCAGGGGAACATGATACCAATCCCACCAGCCCTTTGGGCGTGAGTGGTTTAGGGAGCTCTCTCTGTTCTCAACCCCCCTTCTTCCCCTTCGGGGAGGGGATTACCCCTCCCCCTACCCCCTCCCCCTGGGCCTGGAGAGGTCCTTTCGCGGGTCGTTGGAGGGGTTATTTTCGACTCCTGGGAGGGCAAAAAAACGACACCCCTCACGAGGATTCTGGCCCCGACGGGGGGGAGGAGAAAAAATGCTCTCCTCTTCTTTGAAGCCGAAATCATTGATTGTACTACGATTTTGGCCCCATTTTGGCCTTCTGAGAGGGCAGCGCTCATTAAAGATCCCCTCTTCTTTCAAGGCAAAATCATTGATTTTACGAAGGTTTTGGGCCCAGCTTGCCTTTCTGAGGGGGCAGCGCTAATTAAAGCTCCCCTCTTCTTTGCTCGACTTCCTCCAAGATGGCCCCAAGAAGCGCCCAGGAGGCACCAAGAGGCCCCAAGATGGCCCCAAGAGGCCCCCAGGAGGCCCCCAAGAGGCCTCCAAGAGGCCCCCAAGATGCCCCCAAGAGGCCCCCAAGAGGCCCCAAGAGGCGCCGAAGACGCCCCAAGAGGCCTCTAAGAGGCTCCCAAAAAACATCTACTAATACTTCTACTCCTACGACGACTACTACTACTACTACTACTACTAATAATAAGAATAATAATAATAATACTACAACAACTACTATTACGACTACTACTAGCTCTAGTCCTACTACTACTACTACTACTACTACTACTCCTACTCCTACTACTACTACTACTACTACTACTACTACGACTACTACTACTGCTACTACTACTAGTACTGCCACTACCACTGCTACTAGTACCACTGTTACTACTATTACTGGGACTACTACTACTGCTGCTATTAATACTAGGACTACTACTTCTACTATTGCTACTAGTCCTAGTACTGCTACTACCACGATATCTACCACTACAACTTCTAAGACTACCATCACTACTACTGCTTCTAGTACTGCTGCTTCTACGACTACTACTACTACTTCTACCTCTACTATTACTACTTCTACTCATGGTGATACGGCCACTACTACTACCAGTACTACCAGTACTACTACTACTACTACTACTACTACTACTACTACTACTACTACTACTACCACTACTACTTCCATATAGACCACTGCTCTAGTGACTGCCTCTGCTACTGAGACAACTAGTGCGACGACGCCGTTGACGACTACGTTTGCTACTACCGCTGATACTGGTAATACCACTACTACTACTACTACTACTACTACTACTACGACGACTACTACTACTACTACTACTACTCCTACTCCTACTCCTACCCCTACTACTACTACTACTACTGCTACTACTACTACGACTACTACTACTACTACTACTGATACTACTACTACTGCTACTGCGACTACTACTACTACTACCACTACCACTACCAGTACTACTACTGCTCCTACTGGTACTACTACTACTACTACTACTACTACTACTACTACTACTACTGCTACTACTGCTACTACTACTACTACTACTAGTACTAGTACTAGTACTAGTACTAGTACTAGTACTAGTACTAGTACAAGTACTAGTACTAGTACTACTACTACTGCTACTACTACTACTACTATACTACTACTACTACGACTACTACTACTACTACTACTACTACTACTAACTACTACTACTACTACTACTACCACCACCACCACCACCACCACCAACCACCACCACCACCACCACCACCACCACTACTACTACTACTACTACTACTACTACTACTACTACTACTACTACTACTACTACTACTACTACTACTACTACTACTACTACTACTACTACTACTACTACTACTACTACTACTACTACTACTACTACTACTACTACTATACTACTACTACTACTACTACTACTACTACTACTACTACTACTACTACTACTACTACTACTACTACTACTACTACTAGTACTACTACTGCTACTATTGCTACTACTAGCACTACCACTACTAATCCCACCAGCCCTTTGGGCGTGAGTGGTTTAGAGTGCCCGCTCTGTTTTCAACCCCCTTCTTCCCCTTCGGGGAGGGGTTTGCCCCTCCCCCCTCCCCCCTCCCCTCTGGGCCTGGAGAGGGCGTCTCGCGGGTCGTTGGAGGGGTCTTTTTCGACTCCTGGGAGGGCTAAAATTCGACACCCCTCACGAGGATTCTGGCCCCGACGGGGGGGGGGGGGAGAAAAGTGCTCGCCCAATCTGTGATCGATCGCCCGACAGATGGCCCCAAGATTCCTCCCAGACCCCTCCCAAAGAGTCCCAAGAGGCCCCAAGAGGCCTCCAAGAGGCCCCCAAGATGCCCCCAAGAGGCGCCCAAGAGGCCCCAAGAGGCTCCCCCGAGGCACCCAAGACGCTCCTGGAAGCCCCTGGAGCCGCCAAGAGGCCCCCAAGACGCCCCAAACGGCCTCCAAGAGGCTCCCAAGAGGCCCGAAGAGGCTCCCCCAAGGCACCCAAGACGCTCCTAGAAGCCCCTGGGGCCGCCAAGAGGCCCCGAAGACGCCCCAAAAGGCCTCCAAGAGGCTCCCAAAACGACTCACACCACGACGAGGGCCCCGAACGACTCACACCACGAGGAGCCCGAACGAGTCACACCAGGAGGAGGGGCCCGAACGACTCACACGACGACGAGGGGCCCGAACAACTCACACCACGAGAAGCCCGAACGACTCACACCAGGACGAAGAGCCCGAACGACTCACATCACGAAGAGCCCGAACGATTCACACCAGGAAGAAGGGCCCGAACGACTCACACCAGGACAAGAAACCCCAAACGACTCAAACCACGAGGAGCGCTTTCTCTCCCTCCTCCTCCGCCTCGTCCTTCTCCCGCTCCCACCACAAGGAGGATGTACAAGGAGGCGGGAGGAAGGAAGAACAGAGGAGATATGCGGGGGCAGGCGGAAACACGCCTGAAAAACACGACTGTCGGCATGCTTCGCACGAGTTGCTGTTTTGAGATGGGCTGGTGGGGATACGCGAAGCGTAAAGAATTCTCGACCTCAGGAACCAGTTCACTTTAGCACGCAATTCTTAAACATCGTCTGCGAACCCAACCGAGTCATCCGAGCCTTCACTTGGCTCGCCCCGCGCGGCGGGGGGCAATTCCGACTGGCGATCGGACACGATGGAGGCGCTGTCGTGGGCGCCTCACGGCTTCCTCGTATCCGCCCACTTTTTCCACCGCGCGTTGCGCGAGCGAGTTCCCCTGCCAACCGCTGGAAGAAACCCCGTGGCCGTGCGAGCCCTTGGCGCCCCCATTGCCCGAGAGCTTGGGGCTCCGCGGCAGGCCGCGCGGCGGCGCCCTCGGCCTTCGGGGCCTTCGCCGTAAGCGTCGTTGCCTTTCGGTCCGTTCTTCCCAGGCCCCTTGCCGCCGGCAGACGACGCGTTCTGGCCCGTGCTCTCGGCCGTTCTCGCGGTCTCGGCGGTCCGCTTGTCGGTGGTGTGCTTGGCGTTCGCAAACGCATCCCGGTCCAAGCCGCACAGCAGGCCGTCGAGCTGGCCCGTCTCCTCGTCCTCGAGGGCCCTCGCCAATTTCTTCCTCAAGAGGAAGTCGTGCCGCGTGCACGCGCGAAGGCCCGCGTGCTGGTCGGCCACCCTGGTGAGAACTGGCTGGTATAGAGGCCAACAGATGATTCTCCGTGAGGGCCTTCGTGAGGACCAGTTTGAGGCCCCAGTCGAGGACGCGCCAGTAGATCATCGCGAAGCCAAGGTAGGTGGTTTTGTCCTCCACGCTCCTGGTCGTCCTCTTCGCTTCTACGGCACTGCGGCGTTTCTCTTCGAAGGTGCCGTCCCCGACAATGATGTCGATCTTCGGCGCCTGCAGGTCTTCATGTTCGGCCGAACCGACGTACAGCCGACCCTGGTTGCGCGCCGGGTTGGCGGCTTTCTCCACGCGGATGAACGCCTCCTCGGACGGGCGCATGTCCTTGGCGAGGCCCTGGAAGCCCAGCTCGGCGAGCTGGTCTTGCGGGGGGGGGGCCACAAACGGACAACGCGCGTCGGTCTGGCGGCCGCCACACCCGCGGGGGGACAGGTCGTCACGCGCACGGCAGAACGCAATATGGCAGGACACGGCAAACCGCAAACACGCACAGCATGGCACACCCCAAACACCACGCTCCAAGAGATCGATCCCGGATGTCAGCGAACTTGAAATGCATGACGTCCTTTTTCTACACGTCCAGCTCCGTCGTGGCCTTCGCCAAGGCTGCCTCGCGGTGTTTCTCCGCCGCGGCCGCGTGCGTTTGCACCTTCAGGGCGGCGGTGATGTGCGCCGGGGTCAACTTCACGGACTTCCACTCTGGGTCCTCCCCCTCCTCCTGGAAGGGCGTGGCGCCCACCTTGACCCCGTCGATGATGAGTGTGCGCATGTGCGCATCGGTTTAGTCTCCCGACAATGCGGTCCCAATATGCCCCGCCGACACTCTGGCGACAATCCCCCCGTAGAACGGGTCGGCTCGTTGGCGCCGGCGACGTACTGGACCCACTCCTCCTGGTCGGAAGCGGGCAAGCCCAGGAAATGGCTTTGGGGCACCTTGGCCACCGGCGCCTGCACTGCTGCGGAGCGGAGCGGCACGGCAGTCGAACAGCGACCGCGACAGAGTGGCCAGAAAGGAACTGCAGGAACTGCAATAGCAGACGTGCCACACCAGGGCAACTTTGAGCCACGCCGAATACAAAAAATATGAGCCCATGACAAATGAGAGTAACAAAACCAAGCAGGGACAGGGTCGAGAACTCCGGATGGGGTCGAGAGAACAGAGATGGTGTCGACAGGATCTGACAGGGTCGAGAGCTCGTAGGCCCATGCACGCACCGACCGCGCTTCGGCCGCCAGCTGCATTGACTCTGCGAGCGCAAATGCATCTTGCGAGCTCCGCGCGCCTGTCCTGCCCCAGACCGCGGGGCCAGAGCAGGGCCCCAACCTGGGAGGGAAACCTGAAACCCTGCCCCCGCGCCAAGCGGAAACCATTTCAGAACGGGCCCCTTAGGGCTACTTAAAAGCCGAATACTTGCTACCCCGCCTCCGCGCCAGGCGGAAAGTTGAAGCCTCCGCGCCAAGCGGACGAGACGCTCGCCCCTGCGGAGAAAATCCGCCGCTCCCGTGGGAGTTCCCCAAGACATGTGGCTCCTGGCACACTGAAGCCCATGAACCCCATGAACCAGAGGGTACATGAATCGAATAACCCCGTCTCAGTTGCAGAATTCCCTCCCCTGCGAAATCTCCGATTTAGGGGGTAAAACAAAAAAGCACCCATTCCTCTGACATTTCTGCAAAAGGTCCAGACGAATCGCCTTGAAGCTGCTCCACGAGAGCTGCTTCAGCCCCAACCTTCATCATTCCAAATGCAACGACTCAGAATAAACAACTCCCGCCCCCGCAACTCCACACTGCCAACGACCACTCGGCCAGCCGACAGCGGTGCGACAATGTCGGCCAGCGGAATGAGCGAAACAATTCAATTAAGCTCTAATCGGAATTGCGCAGATCCCATACCCAGCTGATTCCCGTTAGATTCATATCGGGAATAAATCCGAATCGAATTGGGGTGCAGAGGATCCCCGATCCAGCTGATTCCAACTTGATTCCTGCTGAAATTCAATAAGAATCTCACTTGAATTGCGCAGATCCCAGACCCAAATGATGCGCGCGAAAAGCAGCGGAGAAACCTCGAATAGGAAAGATGGATGAGCGAGCGCGGATAAACCGACGGCGGGTGATCCGTAAGAGTACGACTGAAGAGCTCAACCACCGATGCGAAATGAATGGGTGCTCGGGGGGGGGGGCTGCGCATATTCCCCCAATCAGTGTTTGCATTGTAATGATCCTTACGGATGTTGAAATATTTGGCGAAAATTCGCCGGCGGATTTGCGGCCAGGTTCCCAGGCTCCCGGTTCGGGGTTCCCGGGTTCCCGGTTCCGCATTCCCCGCCGATTTCGGTGGGAGGCGGGGTTCCCGGGTTCTCGGGTTCCTGGTCGATTGTGAGATCGATAGTGGAATCGATGGTGAGGACGATTGTAAGGTCGATCGTGAGACCGATAGTGAGATCGATTCAATGATATCGATACTGAGATCGATCGTGAGATCGTTCGTGCGATCTATAGTGAGATCGATCGTGAGATCGATAGTGAGATCGATTGTGAGATCGAGACTGAGATCGATAGAGAGGTGAATAATGAGATCCATGGTGAGACCGATCAATAAGAAAATCGACCGGGAACACGGGAACCCGCCGCCCACCGAAATCGGCGGGGAACCCGGAACCAGGAACACTGGAACTCGGAACCGGGAACCCGGGAAACCGGCCACCCACCGAAGAGGACCGGCGAACTTTCGCCAAATCTTTCAACATCCGCTAGGACTCCATACAGTGCAAGCACTGACTGGGGAATCTATAGATACACATATATGCACTTGCATAAACATACACATACATACATATCACATAAATAAAGCCATTTCAAAACCTCCATGACACCCCACCGGGGGTGGGGGGGGGGTAGGGGGGGCAGATACGCATCCCCCCGGGCGACCCTCTCCCTCCCTCTCCCCGTCCCCCTCCCCCTCACCCTCTTCCTCTTCCTCCTCCTCCTCCTCCGCCCTCCTCCTCCTCCTCGTCCTCCTCCTTCTCCTCCTCATCCATCTCCTCCATCTCCTCCATCTCCACCTTCTCCTCCTCCTCCTCCTCCTCCTCCTCCTCCTCCTCCTCCTCTTCCTTCATTTCCTCCTCCTCCTCCTTCTCCTCCTCCGCCATCCTCCTCCTCGTCCTCGTCGTCGTCGTCCTCCTCCTCCTCCTCATTATCCTCCTCCTCCTCCCCTCCTCCTCCTCTTCCTCTCATCCTCCTCCGATTCCTCCTCCTCCTCCTCCACCTCCTCCTCCTCCTTCTCCTCGTCCTCCTCCTCCTCCTCCACCTTCTCCTCCTCCTCCGCCTCCTTCTCCTCCTCCTCCTCCGCCTCCTCTTCCGCCACGTCTTCATGTACCTCCGACGTCTTATCAGGTATCCGGTCACCCTCGAGGGCCGAGGTATCCAGGGTCGGCGCAATGGCCGCAAGGCCTTAGCAATACATGGAACCATCTCATAACCTGCATGACACATATATCACGATGTTCGTACACTCCTCACACTTGAAACACAAACCACGTCATCTCGGCGACACCGCGTCACCTCAATCCTCACAATCCGCACACTCCTCCCACAATCGGCGACACCGCGTCACCTCTCCGATAGCCTCAAAACAGATCCAAATGTTTCTTTCCTGCCGCGGGGCCACTCAACTGCAATCCGCAGGTCTAGGTGCAGAAGAGATGACGCGCTCGTCCGCACATCCTCCTAACATCCTCCTCCGAGTCTGACCGAAGAAAAATAAACACGAGTCGGCGCTGCAAGCACCCAGTGGGGACGTCGAAGCTGCAAGCAAAGAGCAAGGCGCAAAAGTTGGAGGTCGCCATCGCCGATCACTGGCGTGCATGTCGGAGAGCTTTACCTTCGGGCGTCGGGGTCTCGCCGTCTGGGCGCTCATTTATCCGCCAGTGTCTGCTGAGCAGAGGTGTGGTGAAAGCAGAGCAGGCGTACTTGATAATGCTTTCGAGCGGTTGAACCCAACTCTATGAAGGAGGGGGGCTGAGACGCAGGGGTACTGGCGGGATGTACGGACACATCCTGCAACAATGCCAGCGCGAGGGGGAACACAATACCAACACCGAGTACGGAGGAGCGCACCACAATACGTATACCGCGTGTCAATCGTGCCGAAGACCCGCTGGGTAACACAATCGGCCTGCACTACATACAACTCAAGACCAGCAGCTAAAGCCTTCAGCCTCGTTCCTCCCTCTATCCTCCAGTCTGCCCCATTTCATACTCATCAGCAACATCTTCCTCATCATTGTGTTAATGATCTTACTTTTCCACCTTGGACTCATATGACAGATCGCTCACCCACTCGAGCTGGCTACAGCCCGGGCGCGCCCGCTCTCCCAGTCGGAGGGCATTTTGAATAGATTTGGGGACTTTCTCGGCCCTCCTGTCCAGGCCATCCGCGCCGTATCTCAGGCCACTCGACGCCTCACTCCTCCCAGCGCCCATGATCGTCGCAAAAGCGTTTTTCATATATTTTTGTTCGCTCGGGTCGCGGCTTCCGTTGACGCTGGGGGGACTTTGCACGGCTCGCAGCTTAACAACGCCATTCCGCGCGTACGGAGGCGCACGCGGGCACTCACAAGCGGGCAGCTACTGGGAGAGACGCCCGCAAGCGGACTGGCTACAGGCGCGCGGAAACACTGGCAAGCACTCCCGCGTGGTCACATCTTTCCAAAACGGTCAGCAGCGAAAACTTCCACTCGCGCCCACGCACGCACGCAGCTGATCACAAAGCGCCCGCGGGCGGTCACAGTCGCGGGCGTGCGCCTAAAAGGCGGCTTCACGAGCGCAGAAAGGCCCGCCGAAACCTTCCCTGCTACTGCCAAGCGCTCACACATGGCCATACGCAGCCCTGAAGGCGCTGGGAGGCCTCCTCCCAGTGTCGCCCCCAGGTAGCTCGCATGGTGAGTCTGGCGAATGTTTCTCTGCTATGCCGGTCGCCCCCGGCATCCCCGCGAGCTCTGACACGGGGCGCTTTCTGCAGACGACTGCCGAAGGCCCATCGACCCATCGGCCCAAATTGCGCTGGCGATTAGGGAGCCCGCGCGTGCTTCAATCTGTACAAAAGTTAGGCCGCAAAAGGAGCCTTCGCCAAAGACGTGCGCATTATATGCATGGGCCGGGCGCCCACTAGGGCCCCCACTAGGGCGCCCACTGAGGCTCCCACTAGGGCGCCCACTAGACTGGGCCCCCACGAGGGCGCCCACTAGGGCCCCAACTGAGGCCCCACCAGGGCCCCCACTAGGGTGCCCACTAGGTGACATATTAGGCGGGATTTCGCACTCGACTTCAAGCCAAGTCGGCATGGCCACGAACCCTGTGACGGTCGCTTGTCGGGCGCTGGTGGGGCGCTGGTGGGGGCGCAAGTGGGGAGTGCAGTGGGGACCCCAAGAGCCCTCCGAATGCTCTGGAGCCCTTGGCACCCTGAGGATCAGGAGGAGAAGGAGGAAGCAGGAGGAGGCAGGAGGAGGCAGGGCGAGGAGGAGGACGAGGGAGGGGGAGGAGAAATAGGATGCAGGAAGAATAGGCCGGTGCCCCGGGCGCCTGCGGTCCAGGGTGACCTGCCCCGGTCGCCCGCCGCCCGGGAGCTCGGCGCCCCCAGAACCGCCCTGGAGGGATGACATAGCCGCCGTCGCCCAGGTGCTCCGGCGACAGCGGCAATGTCACTCTCCCCGGCCGCCCGCCGCCCCGGACCCCAGCGCCCCACGGGGCGGCCGCCCCCCCGGGGTGGGCCCTCTTGAGGCCTGCACCGCCGTCTCTGAGGGGCCCGAGAAAGCTCCGATGGGGGGGCCGAGAGGGCCCCGAGAAGGCCCCGAGATGTGTCACGGCCGTGACACATCTCCGGGGCCCTCTTGGGACCCTCAAGGGGCCCTGCTCGGGTCCTGATTGGCTCTCTCGGGTGCATATGGGGGCCCTCGTGGGGCCTTTTGGGAGTCTTTTCGTGGCCCTCCGAAACCGAGAGGGCCCGACAAACCCCACCAGCGAACCCCACGAGATCCGTTACAGCCCGATGAGCGACCCCCAAGAGACCCGTGAGAGCCTAGCACAGCCACACGAGAACCCCGCGAGGCAATGCTCATCCAAAATGCAATGCCCGAGTGAGACCCTCTGCGTACATGGACGGTCGGGAAAATGTTGCCACATTCTGGATACACTTGTGCAAAGCTGTCGGGCTACACTGGTTCGTGCATATCGTTCTCTATACCCGCCCGTACATGTATTTCTATATGCTGGAAGATGAGTCACGCTTTGTTACTATACTGGCCCATGCATAGATGTGTATACAACGGCCAAGGCATCTATTTCGGACGTCTGTGGCCAAGGCCTCCCTCTGCAACCTAACGTTATTGCACATGCTGAAACACGCTCAAGTTCCCTCAACAACAATTCAATATGCGTTGGGGCTCGATGGGCATCCGGCGGCGGTCTGCAGAAACCGCCCCTTGTCAGCGCGCGCAAGAATGCCGACGGCAACCAGCAAGACCGAGAAACACTCGCCCGACTCACTACGTGGCCCCCTGGGCGCGACGCTGGGCGGAGGCCTCCGAGTGCCTGCGGGGCGGTGCATGGCCACCTGCGAGTGTTTCACACTGTCGGGAGTGCGTTGGCGGGCAACTTCCACACCGCGCCAGAATAGAGACCACGCGTTCAAAACGATTCCGCCGCTATAATGAAAAACGCATGCCGTTGGGCATGCACCGGGCCCCGCCCCGCGAAACCGCCATGGCCGCGAACCATGTGAGCGAGATGCGCAGCAATGGGCACGCGCGCGCCCGCGATTCAGCCATCCCCATCGAGAGAGAGGGGGCCAATCCATAGGGCCCGGATCCGACAAAAACGGTAATGAACAACGGAGTGCGGAGCGCGAGTCCAGCGCGCGCCGCAAGAACGAAACCAACAACAAAAAAAGAGGAGGCTAAAATATAATGAAAAAACGCCACTAGTGGATCATAGCCTTGGGGGGAGGTGAGAGGCTATCTGAGGCCAGTCTGAGGTTCGAAATCATTCCGAGGCTATCTGGGGCCATCTGGACGCCGAAGATTTCAGCAAGAGTCGGCACAGAGGGGATTCCACGTAGAGTCATTGTGTCACCATGAGGAACAACACACAAGGAACGAGGGAGCTTGCGTGGCCAAGGCGAGCGCCGTCCACAAACAGGTCACACGACCCAAAATTCACAAACCAGAAACAACAAAGCCACGACTGAGCCCAACATGGTCCTTCTTTCAACGTCTTGACCGCAAGTGAGGTCATTACCAACGAGGGGTAAACGCCCGACCACGATGTGGAAGAAATGACCCGAGGCACCTCCGAACGGCGTTTCCATCGTGACCGCACATCACCGCCATGCGAACCGCACAGAACCCCTGCCGCCCGAGCCGATCAAATCCCGCAAGCGCGGCCGTTGACGTTCTTCGTCGGGCTGCTCCGACCCGTCACAACCGAAGGGAGTTGTGTTCCTTACCCCCCCAAGGAGAACAAATCGAATGTACGACATCTCGACAGGACTGTGAGAGCTGGTGCCCCAAGGGGGTTGTGGATCACAACGCACATAGGTCGTGGCTTGTCCACTGATGGGCTGTGTGATGGCAGCACCTGGACACGAACCGCCCTGCCACCCTTCGCACGCAGGGCCGCTTGGGTCGAGCACGGGCAGCGGGAAAGAGGGGCAGCTAGAAGTACAGCGTCGAAGCGAAGGGCCCAGCTATCGTGCACATCTGCTACCTCCGCACCCACGGGGCGGATTCCCTGACATTACTTGGCATTTCCGACAAACCCAAAGAAATCAGAGCAAGGAACCTGGAACCCAATCAAAAAACTCAAACCAAAAAATCCGGAGAACCCGAACAAAAAAAACCAAAGTAAATAACCCGGGGAAGCCGGGGCCCGTCCCCCGACAAGCCCAAAAAAAACAACCCTGCACCCACCTGATTGTAACAACAAACAACCCAACAAAACAATGGAGCGAAACATCATGGGACATACACATGTACCTACGTTCCTGCACATGTGCGGGTATCTCTCTTTCTTTGTCTCTCTCTTTCTCTCTTTCTCCCTCGGTATACGTGTATACATACATACACACATGCATCCATAAACACCTACATACCTACAGACCTACCTACCTACCTACCTACGTACATACATACATACATACATACATACATACAAGAGAGCGTGATCCACCGCCGCTTTACCGTGGAAAATTCCCCCCCCTCTTCCTCCGGAACCCGGGGGTCCCCCCCCCTCCGAAAATCCCCCCCCTGCTGGAAGCCTCCCCCCCCTTCTCCCTTCCCCCCGCCCCTAGCCCCTCCTCCCTCCCCCCCCTCCCCCCCCCCTTCCGGAAAACCGGAAGGGGGGTCACTACCGGTTCGAACCCCTCCCCCCCCCCCACCCCCTCCAGAAAACCAGAGGGGGATCACTCCCGGTTCGAACCCCTCCCCCCCCCCCTCCCTCCAGAAAACTGGGAGGGGTCACTACCGGTTCGAACCCCCCCTCCTCGAAAACCGAGGGAGGTCACTACCGCAGTTCGACCCCCCCCTCCCCGCCCCTTGAAAACGAGGGGGGGTCAGTGCCGGTTCGACCCCCCCCCCTCGAAAACTGGGGAGGGGTCACTACCGAAACCCTCCCTCCCCCCCCTCACGATCACCGCCAGCAAACGACTCCCGGGTCCCTACCACCGACCGCACCACATCCCGCACTGCTGTTTTCAGCACCGTTGTCCTCACCACCACTGTCCCCACTGTTCCCACCACCGTCCCCACTGTCCCCACCAAGTGCCCCCACCACTGCCGCACTGTCCCCACTGTCCCCACCACTGTTCCCACCACGGTTCCACTCTCCCCACTTCCTGCACGGCCCCAACCACTGTCCCACTGTCCCCACTGTCCCACTGTCCCACTGTTCCCGCCGCTGTCCCACTGTTCCCACCACTGTCCACACTGTCCCCACCACTGTCCCCATTGTACCTGTTCCATTATCCCACCGCCGTCCTCGCCACCGCCCTCACCACTGTCCCCACCACCAATGTACCCTCCACTGTCCCACTGTTTCCACCACATTCCCACTGTCCCCACACCACTGTCCCCACCACCACCGTCCCCACCATTGTCCCACTGTCCCCACTGTTTCCACCGTTGTCCCCGCTGTCCCCACCAGTGCCCCCACCAGTGTCTCACTGTCCCCACTCTCCCCACCATTGTCCCGCCACGGTCCCACCCTCCCCACTTTCTCCACGGTCCCCACCACTGTCTCACTGTCCCCACTGCACCCACCACTGTCCCACTGTCCCCGTCGCTGTCCCACTGTGCTGTCCCACCGTCCCCACTGTCCCCACCACTGTCCCACTGTCCCCACTGTCCCCACCACTTTCCTCACTGTAGTACTGTCCCATTACTGTCCTCACCACCGCCTTCACCACTGTCCCCACCACTACCGTCCCCACCATTGTCCCACTGTCCCCACCACTGTCCCGCTGTCCCCTCACCACTGTCCCCACCACCGCCGTCCCAACCACTGTCCGCACCACTGTCCCACTGTCCCCGCACCACTGTCCCCACCACCACCGTTCCCACCACTGTTCCAGCAACCCCACCATTGTCCAACTGTCCCGAAAAGCGGGAATCGTTTGCCGGCGGCGAGGGGGGGGAGGGGGGGCTTCGAACTGGTAGTGACCCCCGGTTTTCGAGGGGGGGGTTCGAACCAGTAGTGGCCCCCCTCGGTTTTCGAGGGGAGGGGGGGGGGTCGAACTGGTAGTGACGCCCCCCTTTTTCATGATGGACTGGAAGGGAGGGGAGGGGGTCGAACCGGTAGTGCCCCCCCCCCCGGGGGGACGGGTTGGGAACCCCCAGTGACCCCCCCGGTTTTCCGCCAGCAGTGGCAGAGCACACTCATACATACATACATACATACATACATACATACATACATACATACATACATACATACATACATGCAAACATACTGAATTCCATTTCATGTCATGTCATTTCATGCCATGTCATGTCATTTCATTACATTACGTATATACATGTATACATACATCCATACATCCATACATACACACATCAATACATATATAAATATATATATACATCCATACATCCATACATACATACATACATACATATACACACGTACATATATGAATACATATATGCATGTACACGTAATTACATATGTACACACATACATACATGCATGCATACATTTATGTATGCGTACATACGTAAATACATGCATACACACAAACAAACATACATACATACATATATACATTTCATGTGCGATCCCAAAGAACGGGGCCCCACCCCAGGGGACCTTAAGAGGACCTAAGAGAGCCCTAGCCTACAGCCCTAGACGCCACACCCTAGAGGCTCTGGGCACTTGGGCCCTAGAGGCCGGGACGTGCCTGCGCGTGGCGCAACTGAATACGAAACTCACTCAACGTTTTCCTGCACGGACCTCGAGAGATAACTTGTTATCATTCACTGCTGAGAAATATTCACATCTGTGCGCGGTCACGCACACCTCCCCGGCAGACTGCAACGAACGTGAGATCTGATGAGATAGCCTGCGTTGAAAGAAAAGCACTCGGTCGACCTGAACTTCGCTAGGTCCGAGCGAGGGGGAGAGGTGCCTGAAGGGAAACGGTAGGAACCCCCGCCGCGCGGTGCTGACCACGGCTCGGGGGGGGCGGCAGAACGAACGGGCAGCAAGTGAGACCTGTACCGAGGACCGAGGGCTGGGAGGGCGCCTTGAACTTGAAACGGTTTCGGGCGCAGGCAAGACCTGGAGACAACGTCCGAAACAACAAGACATATCCCACCCTATGGCCCCTTCGCTAACCTATCTGAAAATCAACGTTCACAAACTCACTCACCCATGTCAGGTGCGATCCCAAAGAACGGGGCCCCACCCCAGGGAACCTTAAGAGGACCTAAGAGAGCCCTAGCCTACAGCCCTAGACGCCACACCCTAGAGGCTCTGGGCACTTGGGCCCTAGAGGCCGGGACGTGCCTGCGCGTGGCGCAACTGAATACGAAACTCACTCAACGTTTTCCTGCGCGGACCTCGAGAGATAACTTGTTATCATTCACTGCTGAGAAATATTCACATCTGTGCGCGGTCACGCACACCTCCCCGGCAGACTGCAATGAACGTGAGATCTGATGAGATAGCCTGCGTTGAAAGAAAAGCACTCGGTCGACCTGAACTTCGCTAGGTCCTCGCTCCACCATCCCGTACTCGCTTGCGGCCTATGCTGAGGGCTCGGGCACGCTGTGACTGTCGCCCTCGCCCGTCTTTGTGTCCGGGGAGCCCTCGTCGGCGGCGGTCCCGTCGGCGGCGGAGGGCTCGTCCTCGGCGCCTGGCGCCGATGACAAGCGAAAGGCCCCGTTCCCATCCCGCGGCCAAGCCCAGGCGGCTAGGCGCTTGCTCCACCTCCAGATCCTCATCGGCACTGAGGGTGGTGTGATGGCTGGAGCGTGCTGTAGGGCTGACTTGGATAGAGCGAGGTCTGGCTTGTCGATAGTCGCCTGGGTAGCTTCTTGCAGCAGCACTGAGATCCGAACCGTCTGAGTGGTAGCGTCCTCGGTCAGCGACCACAGGGGATTGGCCCAGCGTGCGTTGTAGGTAACACCTGCAGTCCTCCAGGCCAAGCCCACGTGTCCCGTATCGAACCAGGCCATCCAGAGGTCCAGGGAGGTATAGGATGAGTCGCTGATGAAGAGGTGCTTGTGCACTTCCACCAGCGGGCGAGACGGTGATGCAAACATCAAAATATCCGCCAACGCCTGGAGCCAGTGGTCGGGCAGTCCCATCACCGCTCGAGCCTCTGGCGTAGTCAGTACGTCCTCGGCGTACTCGTTTCCATCGAAAAAGATGCGGCCGGCGGAACTGTTGACCGTAACATTTGTGAGGTCGATGCCTTCCCAAGCGGTCTCGGCGAGGCTGAGTGTGTTGTCGGTGAGGACGCTGAAGATCCGTGCCGCACTCGACGACGCGTTCGCACCTGCGCCCATCATCCGGCCTGCCGCGCCTCCGACCTCCTCGGCCACGTCCGAGGCGATGCTCATCGGGCGTGCGAACAGGGGGCTCCACGCCGTAGTCAGTAGCACCGCCAGGATCAGCACAGCACAGCTGCAGCCCCCGCTGCAGCTGGAAGACATCTTAGCCAACTTCCAAAGGTACCACACTGAAGAAACTCGTCGGCGGGTCGGCTGCGGCCTGGGGGTCGCCCATGAAGTCGGCACTCCAGGCGCCGCCTTGGCCATCGGCGGTGTTGCCGTACCCGTCGGCGTTGGTGACGGCGTCAGCCCAAAAGGTGAAACTAAACTAGTCGGCGTAGGTGGGTAGCTCGGTAGTACCCAGGACGAGTTCCCGGTAGAGAAAGGTGATGGCGGTGGCGTGCTCGATCTGGCCGTCGGTATCGTCTCTGGTGTCGCCCATGACCCGTCAGCCAGGCGTCTGGAGCCCTTCGGTGCCATGCAACGCCCGTAGCGCACACCAGGCCCAGCGTTGGCCGGCCCAATCGAAAGCTGGACCCCACCCAGCCGCCTTGAGCCCCACGGCTATGTGGGCGGCCTGGACCATGTCGATATATACTCGAAGGGAACTGTCCACCTTCCAGCGGCCTGTTTCTCGAATCTGCTCGAAGGACATACCCCACGCTGTGGCCTCTGGAGCGAAACCCGCTCGGGCACTGTGGGGGGTCCATCCCATTGGTAGGTTGCACTCCGAGTGGATGCGAGCGAGCAACTTGTGGTACTTCTCGAGGGCGTAGGGAAACATACGGCCCCCTGGGGGCGCGTGGGCCTTCAGGGCCCTCAGGAGATCCACCAATGCAGGGCTGGAGGCCTCCAGGGTGGCGTTCGACTGCGGGCGCTTCGCTTTGGTGTTCGCCTTGATACCCAAGCCTACTATCAGGGGCCCTCGACCTCGACCGTGCCCAGACTCCTCAGGGAAGACGAGATCGGACGTGACGATCCCCAGCATCTCGCTGGGCCGCATCCCCACTTTTCCCTGCAACATGAGGCCGATGGCCAGGCGAGGCTCTCCGAGCGCGCTGAGCCGCACGCTGACGAAAGCCTGGGCGGTGCTCACCATCGGCACTGTGTGCTTGGTCTGGTGCTCTAACTCCCAGCCACGCAGGGCGGCGTGGCATCTGCAAAGGCGGCCCTTCAGCCGCGGAAACTTGAATTCGATAGCGGCGAGCAGGGAGGTGAAATGACTCTTGAGCAAGTCCACTGAGGCCTTGTACTCCAGGATCGTGTCGCCCCACTCGTCAGGGCTCCAGGGGTGGGCCCCCTCGGCCACGCACCACTGGTAAAACTCCGCTGCTCGCTCGCGATAGGTTAGCAATGTCTCGGGCTGCACGCGGCCCTCCAGGCGCTTGTCGTCTGGCACCCTCGGGCTCTAAAAAGTCAGTTCTGGATGATGCGCACGCTGCGCGCGTCCACTCTCGGCACCGGGGCGTTGTGCCCCTCTGAATCCTGACCACATCCTCTCATGCGTGAGAGGCCATCCGCGGGCATCCTCTCGGTCTCCACCCAGGGGAGGTGCATCCTGATCTCCGTGGCGCTCGACAACGCGCACCTCCGCCTGAGTGGGTAGTTCACGGGGCCGGCGGCCGATCGGCCTTTGGCTGCAGCGCCCGCGAAAGCCATGTTGTCCTCGAGGCTGAGGACTCACTGAGGACCTTCGAGCGGTGAGCTTCTGGCAGCGGCGCCAGACGCGACAGGACCTTCAGTGCGGCCCGCCCCTCTCCCAGCACGATGTGGTCAGGCACCTTCCAGCGTCCAGACTCGACCGGGATCCAGGAGGCCTCTCCGTCGATCCAACCTCTCTCAACTGAGCTCACTGGCAGGAACAGCTGTAGCGTCTCAGGGCCGCGCTCCAGCACCTTCTGCAGCTGCCCTGGCTTGGCGACGGCCACGCCAGGGCGGGCACCAGCGTTCCACAGCTCCTCTACGATCTTCGAGTTCGCCGCGGCCACGACGACGCCGTAGCCGCCCGCGTCGAAGTCCCGCGCGCCCTCGGCGTCCGAGGCGAAGACCATCGGCAGCAGCGGGGCCCCCAGGTCAGCGTAGAGCCCCATGATGCCTCGTCGCATGGCCACGGCCTCACGATGGGCCGACGGCCACCACCGTCTCCAGCGCGGGCCCCCCTGGCGTGCGAACTGGAACAGGTGCTGAGGCGCCGACAGCCAGTGCCTGGCCAGCAGCGCCGCCCAGATCCAGACCCCAATGACCGACGCCAGGTGGTCCAGGTGCACCCAGTCCCGGCTCGTGAGCAGCAGCAGCGCCTCGTACATGAGCGCCGCCTTGCGCTTCGGGACCCGCGCTCGTGCGGGGCTGGACTCCACCTCGTAGCCCACGATGCGATCCACCATGCCGTGCTCCCTCCGGTCCTTCACAACAAAGCCCACGTCCTCCAGCGCGTCCGCCACCTGGTGGACCAGCTTGTTGACCTTCTTCTCGCCTGACTGCTGGGGCCCGCCGTCCGCTGCGATCAGGCCGTCGTCGATATGGAGGTAGAAGCTCGTGTCCCTCGCGCCCAGCACTGCCCCGCGACCTCGCGAGGACGTCTCGTTCAGGGAATGATAGGCGCCGAGGTCCAAGGGCCCCGAGTAGCACGTTATCCTTTGACACTTCACTCCGTCTCGTACGTGTCCTGTTGGCCCGCCGCCGGTCTGCGCCATCTCCGACAGCGTGGCCACAATGCCCTCTGCTATCCACCTGCACAGTCGAGGTGGGTAGGTGGCCAGCTTGGTCGCCCGAAAGTTACCGTTAACCTCACCGTAGCTCAGCTCGTGTGCGTGGGCGCCGTCGCACCGTAGTGCTTCGGTGGCCGCCAGTCGCACCGCGCCTGTGACCCTCGTGGGCTTCTGCGAGGGCCCGCCCATCATGCATTGGTCAAAGATGATGTGCCGCGCTCCCGTCCTGGACTCCAAACCTTTCAAGATCTCGGTGTCGAAGATGGACGGGTACGGGTCCTCCCCGGGATCGCCTGGATGCTCGAGGGCCCAGGCTCCCCCGCGGTCCCCCACCCCGCCGCACAGCGCCAGGTGGTTGACCATCAGGCGGTTGCCCTCGTCCAGCCGCTCCACCTCAGAAGGCCGTAGTCTCTCACGGGGTAGCCCCCATGCGTACTTCCCTCGACGGCGCAAGGGTCGTGGCCCTCCCGGCCTGAATCTCGCTCGGCCCCAGGTCGAGCAGGGGGGGCCGCCCAGGATCACGTCCACCAGGCCCTCGGACACCAGGGACCAGAGCAGCTCGAAGGTGTCGACGCGCCCGAGGTCCCACCGCGAGTCCTCGGCCAGGTCCACCGAGATCATGAGCACCTTCAGCTCCAGGTCGGTCATCATCGCCTCGACGTAGTGCTGCACGTCCTGCTCCCTCCGGGCCCCCGCGAACAGGTGCATGACCACGAAGACACGGGTCTCCTGACGCCGTGCGTGGCGTACTGCCTCGCACCAGCTCGCCACGGAAAACCCGCTCGGGGGGGGGGGGCCATCTCGTCGAAGTCGTTGGCGCTCGGCCCAGTCGTCATCCTTCTGCATCTGGTATCCGGCCTGCCACGCCAGAGTGTGATCCTGCTGCGAGTCCACCAAGCTGCGCCTCAGCGTCATGGAGCATATCCTCGAATTGATGGACATCAGGATGTGCACGCTGCGGGAGCTGCCCATGACTAAACGGCGCCACGTCGGATAGACCCAACTCTCAGGATTCAAAAAGTCTCGCTGGCTGGGCGACAGACGCCACCAGATGGCGGACGCCCTCACGGGCGGCACGCACAGCCAGCCCCACATCCAGCTCGGAACCTCGACGAAAGAGAAGGCGTTGCTCTCGTCGAACGCCGCGGCCGCCCAGTCGTCCGACGGGACGTGCAGGCTGGCCAACGCAGCTCCTCCGTGTAGTCCGTGTTCGGCTCGACCCCTCACGTCCTGAAACATATAGTTAGCCGCCACCATCAGGATGATCTTGCGTTGCCGCCCACTGGTCTTCTTGCCCACCGCGCTGAAGCCCGCGATGGCCCCCGCCTCCTGCGGGCCGCCGAAATGCCACAGGTTGGGCGGCATGTCCTGGCGGCTGAAATACTTCTCGTACTCCTCCTGAGTACCTCCACCGAAACCGAACTTGGCCTGCAGCTCCTCGAAGATCACGCGGCTGCGCAACTCCGTCGGGGCCGCCACGAGACCCTCGTCGCTGTAGTACCTGGCCTCCTCCGGCTCGAGCGCCTCGAGCATGTTCACACTCTTCACTACTTGCGGCTCATCAATGTCCTCCGCTCTCAGGGCCTCATGGGTCGACAGGCGAGTAGGCCGACCATAGCCCACCTCCTCCGCGCGAGCTAGCTCCAGCACCGCGGGGACGCCTGTCAGACCGCAGTCCCGGCGCGCCTCTGCCAGCCGTTTAGCTTCTCGTAGAGCTACCCTGTGCACCTGGCCGCGCAGCCCCCGCATGTTCTCCGACAAGCTCTCCTTACGGCGGGGGCGGGCGAAGTCCGTGCACGAGCCCGTGTCCATGGAGTTGATCCCTTGCACGAACTCGTTGGCGAGAGCCCACAGGGCGAGCTTTCGCTTGAATCGATGTCGAAATCGACTAGATCGGCTCGTCATCTGCGTTGGGCGATCCACCAGCGTGATGGGGAAGAACGCCTCTTGTCCCGGCTGGGCCGAGATCACCTGCTGCAGCGAGGGGTGCAAATCGTCACGCACTCTGGGCACCCACTGCGCTGGCGGGCTCCGCACCCCGACGGCAGGCTCGTCGGGGCGCGCCGCGAGCCCCTATTCATGCTTGGAGTCGGCGGCCTTGCCGCCACGGCCTCCACCTCGACCACCTCCACGACCGTCGCCTCGACCTCCGCCTTTGTCGTTCTTGCGCCTGTGGCGCGCCTCAGCCTCGACTCTCTCCCTGCGCTGGTTCTCGATCTTCGAGTGCATCGTCGCCGAGGCCACCATCCACGTCGGGGCCACGTCGGCTGAGCCGCCAGGCGGTGCGATGCCCAACATGTGCTGGGCGCCGACGCGGTCCCCACTCCGCTGCTCGTACACGTATGCCGCGAGGCGGCGGAGGCCGATCTCCATCATGTCGTCCTTGGCTAGCACCTGCATGATCTCCAGGTCGCCGCTGCAATCACGGAGGCGGAAGTCAGCCGACGTGGCCAGCGTCCACAAGTCGACCCACACCGGACTGGTCCGACTCCCCTGGTAGCGCTGGGCGATCCAGTCGCGGGCGCTCGTCGACCCCTCGCCCCGCATCGCCCTGTAGATCTCGGGGGCCGCCCGCTGGAGGTCCGCTGGCAACGAGGAGCCCCATCGCGTCTCCTCTGAGCCTCCTGCCGCAGCGGCCAAGCCCTGGCTGGGGGTGGACTGCCAGATGCCTGCGCCAGCGGTCAGCGCGGCCTCCGACGCGAGGCGGCCCAGCGCGGCCCCGAGCTCCTCATGGCGGGGGGCCGTCACCGTCTGCTCGCCCACGTAGCCGAAACCCGTCAGGAGACGCTTCACCTCGGGCACCAGCTGCCCGCTCGAATCCATCGTGTAGATGTTGGACCAGGGGCGTCGACCCCACATGTAGTCCTGGCCCCTTGCGTTCGCGAGCGCCGTCAGGAGCTCCTTCACCTGCTTGGCCTGCTGGCGGACCTTGCTGTCCAGCTCGGGCGGCCTGTACTGAGGAACGTGTGGCGAGCCGCCAGCCGCAGCTGCGGCTCCAGCACCCGTGGCGGCTGGGGCAGCCAAGCCAGCCCACGCGCCCAGCGCGTCCAGGCTCGAGGCGCCCGCAGGCGCATGGCTGCCCTGACCCGCTGGAGGGCCGATGGGTCCTGTTGCTGGCCCCGCCATCGTCACGCCCGGCACCTGCGGGATCCCCGGCGGCGGCGCCCCCACGTCGGCCCACCCGTGCATGACCTCGTCGGGCGGACCGCCGCCAGGGAAGCCTCCCCCTGGCATGCCCATTGCTCCCGACAGGGCCAGCTGCTGCATCTGGGCCGTGAGGGCGGCCATCTGCGTCTTCGTCGCCTCCTGGTCGCAGTAGAGCCACCACGCCTGGCGCACGACCCTCGCTGTGGCGAGGAGGCCCACCAGCCCGCAGACGGTGAGGCCCGCCAGGCGGGCCCGTCCTGTCGAGCCCAGCTGGGCGGCCAGGGCTCCTCCTCCGCCTGCCAGGGCGAGGAGTCCCCACGCCGCCGCGAGCCACCAGCTGCCTTGGTTCGTGTCGGCGGCGGAGCTCTCTGGGGCGGGCGGCGGCGGCTCGCCTGCTGTGGCGGCGTCCAGCCCTGGCGGCGCGGCCGCCGCGGCCGAGTCGCCCCCCAGCGTCATGGCGGGCACTTCTGGTGTCTGGTGGAACACAGCGGCACCCCTCGGGCGCCGCGGAGAGACCTGCAAGAGGGTGCCCGCGGAGGCACCTCGAAACTCTGATCAGTGAGTCATGGTGCCTTGAACTTGAAACGGTTTCGGGCGCAGGCAAGACCTGGAGACAACGTCCGAAACAACAAGACATTTCCCACCCTATGGCCCCTTCGCTAACCTATCTGAAAATCAACGTTCACAAACTCACTCACCCATACATACATACATACATACATACATACATACATACATACATACATACATACATACATACATATATACAGACATGAATCCATACATACATACATGCACACATACCTACATACATGCATGCATACATACATACATACATACATACCTACCTACCTACCTGCCTGCCTGCCTGCCTGCCTGCCTGCCTGCCTGCCTGCCTACCTACCTACATACATACATACATACATACATGCACACACATCCATACATACGTGCATGCATGCATGCATGTATGCATACATACATACATACACCTACACGTACATCCACATACATGCATACATACATATACATACATGCGCGTGCATGCATGCATACATACATCGACACATACGATGTTGATAGAAAACGACGTATCTGAACACTGTGTAAATATGTCAGAAGGTATGTACTCGAACCGCGCGCCCGCTTCCCGCGCGCTCAGGTTCTAGCCAAAGCTGCGCTTCGGCTGGCTCCAATTCCATGGGCACTCTCGCGGCTGCCATCGCCACCAGGCCTGCCATGGCTACGATCGCGACTACTGCCGCTGCCATCGCCATGTGTACACAAGTATATGCGCATGTACGTCTCAAGTGGTCTTCGGTTCAGTCCGCCTCCGTGCCTGGGTTGTGGGTAAGAGGCCTCTTGCGTGTTCGTTGGGATCTCTTTGTGGCCTCTCGGGTGCTTCTTGGAGGCAACATTGAAGCCTCTGGGGGGTCAGATTTAAAGCCTATTCGGGTTTCTTTTAAAATCTCTTGGGGGGCTCTTGGGGCGTTTTGGTGTCCTCTTGAAATGTCTTGGGCTTCCTAAAGGCCTACTTGGGCGGAAGACTTTGTCGGTTCGTGTTCCCCCACTTGGGCTCCTCTTGGAGCCGTTTTGGGACCCTCTCGGGTCTCCGAACGCGAGTCGTCGTGTCGACGTAAGTCGTGGTGCACCCCACCAAAGGGGCTTCGGTGCCCTTGGGGACTCATCGGCTGTGTTGGAGCGGCCTTGGGGGTGCACTCGGCAGCCGTCGAAAACGGCAAAAACGTTAGAATGTATCACAAACCGGCAGGCCGTTCATTCATTATCGCCTCTTAGTTCCCCCGTGGGGGTCCTCTTGGGTGCCCTCTTTTGACTAAGGGAGCCATCTCGAGGCCGTCGGGGGGCCCCTTATAGAGGTCTGTCGGGGGCCTCTGGAGCCGTTCGATGTCGACAAGCTCGAAATGTCAGTTCGCGTTCCTCCTCCGTGGCCTCTCTTGCGGCCCTCTTGGGGCCCTCCTGGGCCTCTCGTTGGCCGTCCCTGTCCTGCTTTGGCTGTCGTGGGGCGTCTTCTGGACCGTTTTGGGCTGTGGGGGACCCGTGAAACGTACACATTGCAAAAGCCGATCGAACGCAATGGTGTTGGCTGCTCTCGGCTTTCTAGAGCAGCCTTGGAGCCCTCTGGGGGCGACCATGGGGGCCTTTGGGGCTGTCTGGAAGCTGCCACGGGGGACTCCACAAGGCGCTTGAACCGTCTCGAAGTGTCGTTCCCTTTCTGTGACTCTCCTTGGGGTCCTTGGGGGGGCCTCACTGGCAGTTTTGCGTGCTTCTTGGGCCGTCCATGTGTTTTCGTGGGCAGTCGTGTGGCACTCTTGGCAGCCTCTTGGGTGTCCATGTGAGGTGTTGGAAGCCGTGTGGGCTGTCGTCGGCGGTCGGGATCCCGACTGAGGGGGGGTCATAAAATTACCAACAAAGCTCATGGAAGTACGGCTCTCCGGAAGAGCTCTGGAACGCTCTTTGGGGAGGTCGCGGGGCGTCCCCTGGGCCATTTCTTGAGCCGTTCCAGAGCTTCCTACCTTCTCTGTCGCAACCGCATTTCCCTGCACGCAATTCCAGCCCACCAGCAAAAAACCAACACAACCAATCCCCTGAACAGAAACAAGCCGTTTCGCGAACACTCGCGTTGCCACATGGGGCACCCAAGAATCCGCGATGCGAGAGACCAAGCAAGGTGTGACACAAAAGGACAAGCAACATGTGGCACAAAAGGACAATCGAAGTGTGACACGAAAATACGCTCACATGTAAACAATATGTGTGGGGCGGCCCGCGAGAAATCTCCACCCCGACGCTGTCGTGCTGCCTTTTTGTCGCCTGTTCGCCCTCTTGGGGTACCCAAGAGGGCCTCATGACGGCTCTAGATGGCCTCAAGACGGGCGAAGACGCCCCCAAGACGGTCCAGGATGGCCCCAAGAGGGTTGAGAAAGACCCCAAGATGCCCCAAGAGGGCCCCACGAGGACCCCCAAGAGGGCCTCCAGAGGCCAATATGATTGGTTTGCCATGGGGTTTTGACGGATTTTAACGTCCTCGTCCTTCTCGACTCTCAGAGGCCCGTGGTGGTCCAAGCAGCCTCCGAAATTGCCCCAAGACGGCCCAAGAAGCCCAGACGATGACCCAAAGACAGCCCAAGAGGGCCCCAATATGGCCCCAAGAGGCCCCCAAAACGGTCCCAGAGGCTCCCAAGACGGCCCAAGAGGACACCAAGATCGCCCCAAGGCGGCCCCGAGAGGCCCCCAAGACAGCCTCCGAAGGGCCGAACGGCGCAAGAGCGCCCCAAGGCGGCCCAAGACAACCCCTAGAAGCCAAAAGAGGCCCCCAAGAGGCCCCCAAGAGGCCCCCAAGAGGTCCCCCCAAGGCCCCCAAGAAGCCTCCAAGAGGCCCCAAGAAACCACCCAAGACGGTTCAACACACCCCCAAGACACCTCCAGGAATTCCGCAGAGGCCCCCACGGGAGTCTCCAACAGGCCCCCAAGACGCCCCCAGGAGTTCCCAAGAGTGGCTCCAGAGGTCTCCACAGAACTGGACTGGACATACTCCGAGCAGCTCACGGAGGCCCTCCAAAGACCCCAATGGCGTTGGCGGCGCCCCACTTCGGGCAGAACGACACGGCAGACCGGCGCGACAGACGTGCAAGGAAAACCACCAGACGCCCATCCTTTACGTGCTCCGGCCGTGCACCCCGCGAAGCGAGAGTTATATACGTATGTATAATTTGGGAGACTGCACTGCTTGATGGAACTGCTGACCCCACAAAAAGCAAACGTCTACGAACGCTTACTTGTAACCCGCGTTCACTTGGGCAATGGCACTGGGATTGCCGCCGAAAACATGTAAAGCCTCAGCAACAAATGGTCTGTCCGCGATCGCAGCCAATGCGACGATAGTTGACGTTGTAGTGCGTTCCCCTCTTCTTTGTCATCCTCCTGCCCCGTTCCTCCCCCCTCCATCTGCCAAGGCTTTTTACGCATAACTGTTATTCGGCCAATGCGCCGTATGTGCGTCAGGCTTAACTGACTGAACTTCAAAAATAACCCCATCCAGACCCTCTCGGGTTGCCTGGGGAGGGGGCGCTCCCCGCGGCCTGGTTCTCACCACAAAACATCCCAGAACGGAACGCCCTTCCGCATGACTGACAGGAGCTGCTCTGCCTTCCCCGCTGCTGCGGGCGGCGGGGCGGCCTCGTCCAGCACACACCGGATGCGGTGGAACCGACGGCAGTCGCCCCCGAAAACCTCTGCGAGCTGTCCTGGAGGGGGGCGGAAGACTCGAGAGGAAGCGAAAGGAGGATGATAATGATGGAAGCGGAAACGAACCCTCCTGCTTCCTCTTCCCTCCTTCTCCCCCAAGAAATGCGACGCGTTGACTCTTTCCACGCGCCCCCAAAACACCCAACCCTTTCTCAACGGTGGGCATTTCATCCCGAATCTTTCGCTGACGTCCCCACGGCGTGGCGGGGGCGCCCAAAAACCGAAAATGGAATAATTACTCCGATGGAAGGATCCCGAATGAGATTTGTAAACTACTCTGGCAAGGCACTTCGTCTTCCTTGTGATGGGGGGGCCTCTTCCCGTTTCCTCCTCTCCCCCCCTGTAATCATTGCGGAGACCCGCCCCCTACTTTGCCTCCGCCTCGTCCTCCTGCCTCTCCTCCTCTCCGCCGCGCCCCCCCATTCCTATTACAAGGAGCCGCATGCCGACTTCCCCTGGCGCCGTAGCCGCTTCTGTCAGCACGGTCGCGTTCTCCGACAACGAGATCGCGAAGCCCTCGGGACAACCCCGCGGGCCGTTGGCGCGCGAGGCCAAACTGTTGGGACAACCCCGCGGGCTTCCAGCGGGGCGCCGCCGCCCTCGGGCGAGGGGCAGCGCGAAACCCAGCTCTGCCGCAAGCTGAAGGAAGATACAAGCCAGACCGTCCGCACAAGGCTTTGGGCGCAAGCGTGGACACTTTGGAAAATCCGCTGGCCGCGCCGCGGCCAACGCCTTGACTTCAACTGCCTGCACTTAGTTCTGGCTCAATACTGTCGGTGCTGTCGCTTGCCAGGCAAACGCGTCTGTCGGAAGCCAAACACGGCGGCGACCGTGTTGCGTGCCAGGTGGTCGATCAGCTGCTGGACCCCAAGCAAGGTCGCATCAGCTCGCCTTGCTCCGAATCCCACCCCGCTTGCGCGGTGCTCCGCCGTGAGGTGGGCAGGCAAATGTTTCCGAGCGACGCATCGGGCTGCGCGTGGACTCTGCAGCGCTCCGCTCCGCCTCCTTTCAGGAAACGCACCAGAACGCCGTCGAGCGACGCTTACAGAAGCATAGGCGGATGCAAGGCAGCCGCGTCGCCCAACCCTGCGCCCAACGCAGGAAGATTGCGTTCGCCGTGCAAATCCAAGCAGAGGAATCGACAGTGCCTTCGCTTTCGTGCAAAACTAGTGTCTGTACCCAAGGGCAACGCGCATGCAGCGGCGCCCTGCGCCAAGCAACCGGTCGTCGCGACAGTCCAACGCCGGGAAGGAATGCTGGCCCCACAGACCAAACGACAGACACTTCGGCGCCGTCGCTCCTGAGCAGCATGCTGTGACAACGTCTAGCAGATTTTCGCGTGTAGCTCAGTCCTGGGCCCAACGCAACAAGGTCACAATGATTGAAACGATTGCTCCCGCATCCCCTGGCGACGCCATCGCTCCTGAGCAATATGGCGCGACCGCTTCACAGGAGTACGTTGCATACAACAAGGGCACATACCCAAAGTCGCAATGTCCAACTGACGGTATACATTGTCGCCGCTGGCCACTGCAGCGCAGTCGTTCCTGAGTAACGCAGCGCGGGCGCATCCAGCGGCAACTTATACGTAGTTCGCTCCGGGCCTAAGCGCTGGAAAGTCCAGCTGGCCCCAAAAGGCGTCGCCGCAGGCCCACGCCTCGCCGTCGTTTCTCAAGGCATTGTTGTCGTGCCTAGCTGCATTCTGGACATGTCCCGACCCCGCGTTCAGAGCACGTTAATTATGATGGCCATATCCGTTGCTGCCGCAGGTCGCCACGGTGCCGCCCCTCATGAGCAACACAGCGTGGTGACGGCCTAAGGCAACTTGTATGTAGATCAGCCCTGGAGGCGAGGCTGGAATGCGGTGTTCTGCACTGGCAGGGGCGCAGTTGTCGCGGCGCCAGTGGTTGTCGAGGCGCCAACGAACTTCACAATCAACCGCCGCACCGTGGTTCCCAGGCAGCACTGTGCGGAATCCTTCGCAAACGAACATCATAACTATGCAAACAAGATCGACAATCGATCCCAAGCGAACTGGCGAGTGCCAGCGCCATATTTGATCAAAAATGGACGCGGAATCCATGGGGGGACATCAGGGGGAAAATCCGCGTCACCACAACAGGGCCAGCTAATATGCCGAGAGGAGATGCATAGAAGCGAAGATCACGCCACTGCGTGTATCAGGGTGGTCTCAGCCCGTGTATGTATTCTGTGCCAGGGACCCCTCGGACTACACTCGCGCCCTTTCCGCCCCAAATCCCCAGCAAATTCAGCAAAACCTCCTGCAACTCATCCGGTTCGCCAACCCCTCCCCTCATCCGCCGCTCCATTATCACATGATTCCGCCCTGCTAGCACGATTTGTTTTAATTATTCCTGGGAACCACCGCCCCATTAATCGGCGCGAACACGTTCGCCGACGGCCAGATGGCGAAGACGTTTAGACGACCGAATGGACGGGGCCGTTCGAACCACCCTGCGGGTCATCGGGCCGCTGGGGCGTGATATCAAAACGTTGGGACGACCCCGCTGGCCTCAGCTGCGCGGCCGTGCTCAGGCGGGAGGCAGCGCGAACCCCAGCTCTGACGCGAACTGCTCCGCCCCTGCATGGGAAGCTCCGCCTCCCTTTCTCGTCGAAATTCTGGCGCGCCTCCCGCAAGGGGCGCCGGCGGCCTTCGTTCCAAGAACTCTCGCGTGGGCGGCCGCAGGATCAGCGCGGTCCGCGCGCACGTGGCGCGCGGAAATCGGATAGGGCAAGAAGACAAATAAAATTGCGTAGGTGGCCCCTCACCCACGCAGTTAAAACGTTCGGCCGACGCTGGGGCACTATCCCCAGCCCAGTTGCAACGACTTCCCCTTTGCGCCCGATTCGGGCGCCGATGCGTCCACCCGCGCCGCGGACGCAAGGGTTCCCCCGAGCGCTCGAGTCGGCGGTCAATGGATTACAACTGGTGGCCAAGACGCAAAGGTTACCCCCTGCGCCCGGTTCGAACGCGGATGGGTTACCGTCCGTGCCGGGAAGGGTTTCCTCCCGCGCCTTGTTTGCACGCGAATGGATTACCACCCGAGTCTCCGATGCAAGAATCCCCCCCGGCGTTCGATTCGGACGCCGATCGGTTGCAACCCGCGGCCCAGACACAGTGGTCGCCCGCTGCGCTCACTTCGGACGCGGGTTACCACCCGCGCCCTGGACGAAAGGTTTTCCCCCAGCGTCCGATTCGGCTGCCGATGGATTACAAACGGCGGCCAAGATGCAAGGGCCCCCCCCTGCGCCCGATTCGGGCGCGGGTGGGCTACAATCCGCGGCTCAGACACAAGGGTCTCCCCCTGCGCCTGGCTGCCGTCGCCCTCCTGAATTCCTCTTCGTTCCCCTCCTCCCCCTCCTCGTCTGACGGCTTAAAGAGTGGCCCGCGAGGGCTCGCATCGCCATTCGTTCTTGGAACCTGAGGGTGCAGAGCTCTGGGCGCTTTCGTTCGTGTGGTTATGATACGTTTCAGCGCAATGGCAACAGGGCTCCCCTAGAGGTCAAACGGGAGCGGCTGGCGCGCTATCGCATGTGACGCATGCTCCATAGCACACCCGTGAAATTTCGCCACGAGCTAGCCGGTGGGTCGCGTAGTCACGCTGACCCCTGCGAACCTCTCGAGGCAGCAGGCAAAATATCCCGAATCGGGATAGCAGTCCAAGCGTGCAGCAACGTCACTTCCCACCCGGGATCGTGCTCACTCTGGCTCTCGCCAGTTGCTTCCTTACCTTCTTCAAGATCGACTCTGGGTATGCGGTTGCGCCATGACATCCTTTTCACAATACTAACTCGAAAAAAAATGAGGCATGGCTTTTGTAAGACCATCCACAACCATTACACTCGCGACAATCCAACGGATTTTGTCGCAAAACAAACATGGATGCAATCCCACCAGCCTTCTGGGCGTAGGTGGTCTAGAACAGATCCTCTTCCATCCCTCCCTCTTCCCCCTTGGGGAGGGGTTTACCCCTCCCCCTACCCCCTCCCCTGGACCTGGACGGAGGGTTTCGCGAGCGGTCGGACGGCTCTTTTGGCCCCAAGATGGCTTCAAGAGCGCGTCAGACAGCCCAAGATGAGCTCCAAGATGGCTCAAGATAGCGCCAGATCGCTTAAGATGGCTCTTAAGATGGTTCCAAGAGGCCCAAAGACGGCCCCAAGACGGCTCCAAGTGGCCAAAGAGCTCCCAAAGGAGGCCCCGAAGACGCCAACATCGTCCCAAAACCTTAAGAACATCAATGTGTTTTGCTTTCTCGCCGTTTCGCTTCCGATGGCCATCCGAGGCCTTAAGATGGCTCCAAGATGGCCCGCGAGGGCCCCACAAAAGGCCCAAGAGAGCCCCAAGACGGCCCCACGAGCGCCCAAGAGCCCTCCAAGAGCGCCCCAAGAGCGCACCACGAGGCGATGTTTGGAGCTCCTGAGGGGGGAGGCTAATTAGGGAGCCCCCCTTCGTTGATCGATCTCCTCCAAGATGGCCCCAAGAGCGCCCCTACAGCCCCCAAGAGCGCCCAAAGAGCGCCCCAAGAGGCGCCCAGACGGCCCCAAGAGGCGCCCAAGAGGCCTCCAAGAGGCTCCCAAGAGACCCCCAAGAAGCCTCAAGAGGATCTCCGAAAAGCATTTAAGACGCTTCTGGCTCTTCGGTTCGCCGTCCTCTTCAATTTCTCATCCCCCTCTTCCTCCTCCTCCTTCTCCTCCTTCTCCTCCTGTTCCTCCCTCTGATCCTTCTCCTCCTTCTCGTCCTCCTCGTCCTCTCCCTACTCCACATCCTCCTCTTCATTCTCCTCCTCCTCCTCCTCTTCCTCCCGCTCCCCCTCCGACGAGGATTCCTTCTCCATCCTCCCCCTCTTGGGGTACGTGACAGTTTCCCCCGCCGTTTGTTATTATGTATGCTCCCCGACTTCCCTGATCACCTCAACTCCCCCGGGCATCGTTTCTGGATGGGCTGGTGGGGATACGCGAAGTTTCAACAATATGTAAA